CCCCCCCCCCCAGGTTGACTGACTGGTAGGTGTGACCATCCCAGTGAAGACCCACTGCGACTGAAAAGCTCGTATGGAGAAGCAAACAAGAAGAAACCTAGGAAACCAAGAGAAGGAGAGCAGCTGTATCAGACCTCCGGCTCGAAACGGTGGTGCTCACACACGAGAGGCGGGACACTGGGAAAGGACATTCTGCAACAGAGGGCGTGAGCAGCTATTCGAAAAGCATCAGGTGGACTCCGTTCGTGTGCCAGGGACTTGCACAAATCCCAAATACAAGGGTAAGACGGAAACCCGAGCAGACGCAGAGGAAGACGGGTGAGGTCCTTCACGCTGGAGCAGGAAAGCCTCCCCACACTGGCTTGAAACCACAGCACCATTAGAGAGATTGACACATTCAACTCTACAAATTGGGGGAAACACTTTAATGTGGCAAAAGGAAAGTCAGAAGCAAACCAGGGGAAAGTATTTGCAATATTATTACACAAAAGGTTAAGACTCCAGTTATGTAAAGACCTAAAATACGGAAAGAGCAAGGCCGATGGAAGGTACGATGGAAAAGTGAGCAGAAGATATGACAAGGCGGCACCACCAACTCACACGCCCACGCGCACACATACGTGCACACGCATGCACGCGGACACGCACGTAACCACACACGCGCGCGTGTGTCCCATCTACGTATACTCAGATCCCTTAAGCAACCAAAGGATGTTCAATTTTACTCATAATAAGAAAAACGCAGATTACGACTTACAAATCACCCGCGGGCAAAACTCTGACCGCGTGACAACACGGTGCTGGCGAGGACGTGGAGAGACAGCCCTGGAGCGGCTGGGGGCGACAAGGCCGGACTGGAGGACTAGGCACCAGCCAGTGGTTAGAGAAAATGTGCCCTTTGACCCCTAAGCCCCGCCTGTAGAACTCCTCCCGGGGGTGAGCCAGCCGCCAGGACCACGCGCGTGCCCCAGGCAGGCAGCAGGAGTGGAGGGAACCCCAGGGGCAACTCACTGCCCCCCAAAACAAGGAACTGAGCTGGGGGCTCTACTCAAAGACAAGGGAGCACTTTGAGCACGAAAATACCAATTAAAATTAACATATTTTGAGTATGTTTTAAAAGAGATAAGTTCGTATTCTAAAAAAAGAAGAAGGAGGGGGAGAAAAAAGAAGACAGAGGAGCACGCAGCAGAGAGGGAAGGAAGCGGTGGCCTCACCAAGCCACCGGCCGGGCCACCCACTGGCGGCAGCGCCACGGCTCAGACAAGAAGTGAGAGAGCGCGGGCACAGTCAGCACTTTGATGCTCGCCTTCCCGGAACACGGCCCCTGCAGCCCGCCTCCACTCATTTTTTCCGTGCCCTGCTCTGCCCCAGTCCCGTGTGTCAACGGCCCTGGCTGGGGCAACTTGCCCATCCCCACCCACGCGCCCCCCCCCCCCCCAGCGGTTCCCTCTCTGCCAGCCTTGCTCATCTCCTGGAGGCTGGCCTCAGGAGGACCGGTGGGGGCTGGGCTCTTCAGATGAGGCCTGAGACCCCGGCACAGGGCACCCAGGGCGGAAGGCATGTGGCCACCCCGACAGCCCGGGGCCACCAGAGCCCCACACTTGTAGCCCCTCTGGCCAGGAGGACGACCTCTCCCACTACCTGTGCTCACCTTTCCTGGTCTGCAGAGCTGGGGGCAAGGGCTGGCCTCCTCCCGATAGAAATGCAAGGTCGTGTCGGACAGGAGGACAGGAGTCTGTGCCACACCCAGAAATCCAAGGTGGGGGCCCTGACAAAGGTCTCCTGGCGGGAGAAGAGTACAGACCCCAAAGGCAACCTGCCCAGGGGATCGGGAAGGAGGGGCTGGCGGCCCTCACTCCAGGGTCCCAGCCCCAGTGCGTGGTAACCAATCCCGCGTGGACAGGGGCATCTTTGCGCCTGGTGCAGCTCCTGAGATTCTGGAGAATTCGGGATGGGGTGGGGAGGTGTCTTCCTGAGGGCAATCAAGGCGGCATGGCCAGCATGATGTTGACTCCAATCGCTGGAACCCCTCAACTGCTGCTCAACCGCAGCCCCCTGGGGGCCCTGGACCCTCTGGCTCCGGTCCGGTGGCCCCACCCAATGATGGGGGCCCATGTCTGAGGCTCCTGAGCTGACCGGCTCACAGCGAGGCTGATGACATTGTCACGAGTCCACTGGCCACTTGGATGCTCTCAAGATTATACAACCATTGTCAGGCACTTTCTTCTTTCTCTTTTCTTACTGTCAGAGTGTTTATGGCTATACTTTTTTTTAAATTAGTAGACATATTTTTTTTAATGTTTATTTATTCTTGGGAGAGACAGAGACAGAGACAGAGACAGAGCACATGCGGGGGAGGGGCAGAGAGCGAGGGAGACACAGACTTCGAAGCAGCTCCAGGCTCCGAGCTGTCAGCACAGAGCCCGACGCAGGGTTCGAACTCACAAACTGTGAGCTCACGACCTGAGCCAAAGTCGGATGCTCAACCAACTGAGCCACCCAAGCGCCCGAATTAGTAGATATATTTTAAAGCGGTTTTAGGTTTACAGAACTGAGCAGTAAGTCTCAGTACGCCACCCCCATGCCCCCCGCACACACAGTGTCCCCGAGGTTAGCATCCCCCACTGGTGGCGCACATCTGTCCTAACTGATGAACCAGCAGTGATCTGGTACCTCACATCAGGGCTCACTCGTGTGATGTGCACTCTGTGGGTTTGGACAGATGTATACGGTGACATGTACCTACCATTATAGTATGGCACTCGCTGCCCTCACTGCCCCAAGAACCTTCCGTGCCCCACACACACCCCTCTCCTCCCCACAACCTCTGACAGCCACCCATCTTTTCACTGTCTTCCAAGGTCCGCCTTCTCCAGGATGTCATATGGAATCGCACAGTACGTAACCCTGTCACACTGGCTTCTTTCACTTAGTGACGCACCTTCGCGGTTCCTCCATGTATTTTCACGGCTCGATAGCGCGTTGCTTTTTGGCTCTGAGTAATCTCCCGCTGTCTGGATAGACCAGTTTGTCCGTTCACCTCCTCAAGGACATTGATTTCTTCCAAGGTTTGGCTGAAATAAAGCCGCTATAAACACCATGTGCAGGTTTTTGTGTAGACATGGGTTTTCAACTCATTTGGATAAATACCAAGGAACACAATTGCTGGATCCTATAGCAAGAGTTTGTTCAGTTTTGTAAGAGGCGGTGACGCTGTCTTCCCACGTGGCCGCCCCGCCCGCGGCAGGAGAACGCTCCTGCTGCTCCACCCCTCGCCAGCAGGCGGCGCTGTCAGCCTTCCGGACCCGCCGCGCTGATAGGCTAATCGCGTCCTGCTCTTTGTTTTACTTGGTCTTCCCCATGGGGGCATCTTTCCATATGCTCGCTTGCCAAAGCATGCAAACAAGTTTTAAAACTCCCAATGAGAAGGCAAACAGCACAGTTAAAAAAGGGGCGAAGGCTCTAAACAGACACCTCACCAAAGACGAGCTGCGGCCACTTTGGAAAACAGGCTGGGCAATTTCTTGCAAAGCGAAACTATCCGATAAACCAGCAGGTATCCTGAAATGTTTGGCGGAATTCACGGGGAAAGCCATGTACTCCTGCAGTTTTCCTAGAATGCACATATTTTTTTTATTTTTTATTATTTTTTTAATGTTTTATTTATTTTTGAGAGACAGAGTGCGAGCAGGGGAGGGGCAGAGAGAGAGAGGGAGACACCGAATCTGAGGCAGGCTCCAGGCTGTCAGCACAGAAACGTCGCGGGGCTCGAACCCACTAACCGCGAGATCATGACCTGAGCCGAAGTCGGACAATCAACCTACTGAGCCACCCAGGTGCCCCAGTGTGCGGAGATTTTAAATTCCAGATTAACTTCTTTAATAGGATTTTTCAGGCTATTTCGTCTTTAATAAGTTGTATTTTTCCAGGAATTGTCCATTCATATAAATGGTTCCTAGTATCTTCTTGAAACCTGTGAACATCTGTAGGGCCCTCCTCGTGTGTCCCATCTCGTTCCTGATATTGGATTTGTGTGTTTTGTGTCTTTTATGACCAGCCCCTCGAGGGGGTTATCAGTTTTACTAGCTTTCTAAAAACCCAGCTCTGGCTCTGGCCATTCCCTCTGGTGTCTGAAGTCTCCTGTCCCTCTAGTTCTGCTGCTCCCTTGGACTTCACTCACTGCCACTTTCTAAGGTGCTGGCATCACGGCGCCTCCCCCCACCCCCGCCCCCACGGGACCCACCTGGCTCAGCTCAACTCACAGATCGCCTGCAGCACTCACACAATTAACTTCAACGTCTTTTTCCATTTTCACTGTAGCATCTTCTTTGAACCAGGGGTAATTCAGAATTGTGTTTCTCAATTTTCAGACACAAGATTGGAAAAAAAAAAATTTTTTTTTTGAGAGACACACAGAAGCGAGGAAGGGGTAGAGGGAGAGGGAGGGACAGAATTCCAAGCTCAGCGCTGAGCCCAACGCAGGGCTCGGTCCCAGGAACCCCGAGATCACAACCTGAGCCGGAATCAAGAGTCGGATGCTGAACTGACTGAGCCGCCCAGGTGCCCCCACAAGGAAGATTTTAAGTTTCCTTTTGTTTTCATTTCCAGCTCAATTTCACTGTACTTTTCAATCCTTTGAAGTCTTCTAGAGACTTGACTTCATAATCCAATATAATGTCAATTTTCACACCTACGTGTACTCCAACAGACTGTAGATTCTGTTCTGTGCAGTTCTGTGCGTGTGTCCACTGAGTGAAGCTTCTTGGGCAAGTTGGCCAAAGCTTCTGTGTGCAGCCTGATTTTGTCTGCTCACTCTGTCATTGAGACTTGTATCTACAATTTTCTACTGTAACTGTGGATCTATGTCTCCTAGAAGTCTGCCCACTTTTGTTTCTTATTTCAAAGCATACTATGAGGTATGTACAAATGGGTCAGACCAGAGAGCCCGTCAGGAAGGCCGGCAGCGCTCCAGACGCTTGTCCCCGAGGCCGGGTGGCTTGGGGCCCGGCGGCAGGTTCTGCAGGACCTCACCAAGGGAGAACATGCAAAAGGAGATCTCCTCGTAGGAGACCCTGGCCCCACTCTCAAACAGACAAGCAAAGGTCAGGGCTCCCTTGACAGTTGGCCCGACGGATGCCAGATCAGAGTAGCCACTGGGCCCCTCATAGATCACCCAGGGCTCCGTCCAGCTGTGGGGATCCAGGGGGGACCGGCTCAGATAGATTCCCATATGGAGTCGAGCCCTGCGCCCCACCGGGTGGGAATACAGCAGCCAGGTGGGGCTCTGAGACAGGGTGGCAGGGGGCCCGGGGACCTTCGAGGTCCAGGCCGCCATGATCCCACTGAGCCCAGGCCCCAGGCCAGGCTCTTCAGGGCTGTCCCTACATCCCTCCATCCCGCTGGGCCCCTGGGCCCCTTGGGTGTCTCCAGTACCCTCCTCTGAGGGTTCCTGGACTCCAAGACAGAGGTGTGGAGAGTAGGAGTGGCTCCCGGCACCCACTGGCCATCTACCATTCCTCGGCCTGCTAAAGAGCGGGGCAGGGAAGCCAAGGACGCTGCCCTGGCAGCCCCGGGCGGTCTCGGCCAGGGCAGGCACCAGCTCCCCGGGCAGGAAGGAGGTGCCCTCGTCCGCACTGAGCGCCTGCACGCGGCTCCCCAGGGGGCTCCGGGCGTTGCAGTACAGGATGTGGCCGGCCTGCCCGCTGTCCACCGCGGCCAGCTGGCACTCGCCCGAGCGAAGGTTGGGCACCAGGCCTCCGTGGCGCCAGGTGCGACCGTGGTCGTCACTGTAGAAGGTGAAGGCATGCGGGCTGGTCCTGCAGATCTTGCCAAAGCACTCCCGCCGGTCTACGTGGTACGTGTAGGCAGGCACCAGCAGGCGGCCTGAGCGCAGCTGGATGCCGTGGCCCGGGCCCACAGCAAATGTGGCCCAGTCTGCAGAAGAGGGACTGCTGATCATCCGAGCTGGGAGGCAGCCTTGGCCGAAGCCAGACGCCACCGCCCTGGGGGTCAGGGACGATCTGGAGCCAGTGCCTCAGATGTGGGGATAGCTCATGAGGAAATGGGGGACTGCCCCCCATCCACACTCCTGCTGCCCACTCCGAATCCCCCAGGGCTGGACAAGCCTCTCTTCGCCACTAGCGGGAGCAGGGCGCCCGGGCAG